CTCTTGCAGCGAGTAAGAGTTAAATAGGCGCAGATAGAGAAGATAAGTTAGATATATTATGAGAATTGCCCCGCCTACACGCCAATAAGTATCGACGTAAAACCAACTGTGGAGTTGCGTGGTTAATTTCCAATAGGAACCTACGCCGCTTTAAGTACCAGCAGGGAGAAGGTTCACTGTATAAGATTTTTGTTCAAAGTTCAGTGGATAGACCATAGACTAATGTTTCTTTGACATCTGCACGAAGAAGCTTAAGCGTAAAAGCGCTAAAATTAGCGTTTTTATTATTTGAATATAGTTTTATCGTAATGAATTATAGCGCTGCGTGTCTATAGACGCTTGACTGGCGATTTTAGGCACGCATCAAAGAGATTGCGGGTTACGACGATTTGTGGATTATTTCAAAATTGGAAAGATAAATTTTAGCGCATTTTATTACCAAAACGTCGTCGCGCATGTATGGGGGAAGCATTAGAGAGCAGACTTAGCAGCACCCACATAACGTTGTCAACTTTTTAAAATCAGTTCTAAAGAGTTCTCTTCAATATTTAATATACGTTCCCTCCGTGTGGCATAACAATATAATTACAGAAAGTTCTTCATGGAATCGAGACTTCGGAATGAATTGTATCAAATTCTCAGTATTTCTCTTGTTTTGCTCGACTTAATAAAAAAAAATATGAAATTGATAAATCCTTTGACGTATTTTCGTAATATCCAAGACAAGACTCAACAGTAACTTTAACCCACGAGTAACGTTTTATGTTGAAATTAAAATTGGTGTCAAAAAGTTCGTTTGTTATCTTCCTCTTCATTTTGATTATCAATAAATTATATAACGTAAACATAACTTTTAAGGGTAATACAATTAATTTATTATTAAATAAATTCGGATCAAGTACCTACGCAGAGTATGTACGTACGTATGCCGCTGTTAAGTCCGCTTAATTTCCAAAAAGGCTGGATGTGGTAAATATTAATTAGCAAAATTTTAATTATCTACAAAAATTTACCTGATCCTTACACTATTCACACTGTCTTGATGTATTTTTTTTAAATAAAAGTCAAACTATTAATTGCGAGTTAAATAAATACGACTTCATAAACAGAAAATGATCATTTGGCGGAAAAACAATTCATGGAAATTTGGCCGGGCCGGCTTAATTCAGCACTCCCCAAGGGGTCAAACCCCTTTAATTTTTAATAAACTTACCTTAAAAAGGAGAGGTCGAGTTATTGTTACCATGCTGTTCCTGTTTGTTGAGCAGAGTTGGGATTTCATTATTAGTGCAGTCATTGAAGCATTATTGCTCCGAATTTTTTTACTGTGAACCGAATTGCATACAATTTTGGAATTGGGTTCATTTTACCCTTAACTTCAAAATAAAAAAGGGTTTGAACTCCGCAACCACCCTGGGGGTGGTTGCCACCCCTTCTCGGGGGTGATTTTTTTTTCAAAATAACGTCGGATATCGATAGAAGGCCTAATTTTAAGCAAAAAATCATTTATAAAGTTTTTCAAAAAATCCAATACTTTCCAAGTTGTTGGCAATTGAAAATTCGCAATTTTTTCACGTTTTTCATCGGTTTTTTGCAAATATCTCCAAAAATATACGTTTTATCGAAAATTTTATAAATACCAAAATTATAGCAGGTAAAATAATGAAAATTTTGGTTTTTTATAAAGTATTCTAAGTGCTAAAGATATTAAAGATCAATGCCGTTTTTTATTTTGTCTGAAATTTAATCGATGTGGTCAATGCCATCTAGCGGCGAGCAAATGCATTTTATGCATTCTAATACAAAAGGGTTTTGTAGTGCTTGAAATAAGCTTTAAAATGAGCACTATTAAAAGTCTCTTTCACGTAAAATAACTGAGCTGTATTGCAAATAAGGGGAGCATCTAATGTTTTATTCTTTTAAATCAATGGGTTTCATAAGTGCCATTTCCACCAAAATTAAAATTAATCGTATTCCGCCTAGAATTAACTTTATTTTGAAGAGTTTGATATATAGTATCAGATTGGCTGCTTCAGGACACATATTATACAAAAAAGTCATGATTAAAAAAAAACAAAATTTCAAATATTTAAAAAAACCCACTTTTTTTCATAATATCTCAAAAATGACGACAGATACGTATAAAAGTGTACGGATTAAAAATTTAGGTATTTTTCTGACAAACAATTTGGTTTCTTTGTTTTTTCTGTCGAACAAAATTTGACGGAGATATGATTGTTTAAAGAGCGCGTGGCAGCGCAATCACAACCTCTCTTAAGCCCTTTAACCCTTCACTTCACTTTTCGAAAAAGGTTTTTTACTATATATTGCAATGAAGAATGTTGTAGCTCTCTTAATTACCTTTACAATGGTTTTTTATAAATTGTGATACCATGAAAATTGAAGGAGTTATGGTCCAAAAACTTATCATATTTTTTTCTACTTAGTAACTGAAAATTTCGGAGTGTGAATATTTGGAGCAATGTGAAAGTACGCAGTATAATAGAGACCCACAACTATTTTAATGTGTATATATATACATAATATGGCCTATATATTTTGGAAACGTAGGCATGAATACATACCAACGTTCTTATATGTGTGACTCAACTTCGGCGGCATATAATAACGGCAAAAAAAAAATATGGTTCTTTTGGAACGAAGGCAAGATTTGAGAAGTAAGGCAGAGATATTTTTGAATAATACATCTGAACTCGAAGATATTTAAGAGGCAGGTAGATATTGCATGGTATGCTTTTATGGACTTGCTAAAGATACACAACAAAATAAGCTGAGTCGAATAGAAAGCTTATCCGAATATATAGAAAAGATGCGCTATGCAAGTTTTCTCAAAGTTGCTACGAAAAACACTGCTGTAAAATTATTATCCTTAGTTCCAACCGTTGGTGCCATAAATGAGCATACTAAGAGGGTTTATCTTCAAACCCAGATTTGGCTTGGCAACAAAAACATTCATCCAACGGATTGGGGGTGGGTCATGAATGACGGCTTATTAAATCCACTAAGTCTGTAGATCCACCCGCACCACAAGAACTGCTGAAAATGATTTTTTGCAACTGCAAAAAGGATGTGGAGAGTCTTGCGGCTGCAGAAAAGTTGCTCTGTTTTGTAATACTACCTGTGGAACGTGCAATGGAGATAACTGCCAAAATAGCCCTCCAATTCAGCCAGAAGATGTTGAATGTGACAGCCTCCGACATTGAGTCATGAATAATAATATTAAATTTTAATAATAATAGTACAATTTTATATAACTTGTAAATATTTTATTCAATAAATGGCAATTTTTTACTATAAATTATATTATTTTTAAATATGTAATCATATATATATACTGTTTTAATTTATGGGGGAGTTTTAAGGGTAGAAAAGCTTAAGAATATGATAATCATTTCCGAGAGTGTCGAATAATAATTAAATCCTTTTCATTTTATCAAAAAAAATATTAACATTTTTTTATTAAGGGTTAGTTTTCAAGGGTTGAAAGGGGGTTAAAAATTTGATAATTATTATAGAGAGTATAAAATATTACTTACTCTATACTTACATCTTTTTATGTCATACCAAAGTATTTTTTGTGATTTTTTCAATTTAGGGGTTGTTTGCAAGGGTTGTAAGATTTTCAAGGGGTTGAAAATGATTTTAATATGAGGTAATTATGTTAGAAAATACTTTACAATTTCACCACTTACTATTAGACATGTTTTCTAGCGATAAAATGGCTCAATGTAAATTTTTCCATTAAGGGGTTGTTTACACCCCTTAAAAATAATAGGCGGAGTTCAGTTCATTTTCACTTTTGAAGTTAAGGGTAAGATGAGCCTAATTCCAAAATTTCATGCAAATCGGTTCACAGTTAAAAAATTCGGAGGTAAGACCGTATTTTTCGCTTCAATGACTGCACTATATAGTTATACTTGTTTTAGGCCTTCTTTAGATTTGCTGAAATCTAAATAAAATAACTACAATTTATTAAATTTGATATAGGTACCTACCAGGACATCATAACTTCAAAGAGGGTAATGTACTGCTGTCCACTTATTTCTTTTGAAAACCATTAACTCCTGAAAATATTTAAGGTATGTTACCTACATGAGATTTGATATATGTAATATTACTTTTATACGGTGTTTAATGATACGATACGTGAATTCTACTTACGGCTTACCAATGTCATGTTTCCCAACCTTCACATGGTTTCACTAGATTCCCATCCGTAAAACACACCTTAAACTAGTCTCCGTAGCTCTAGGTCTTCTAGTTAATTTCTCGAGTTATCTCGAAATTTTCCGAATTTTGAATAAAAATATGTTTTTCTTACTAATTTTGCGTTATATTAAATGTGTGTTTTGGAACAGCACAACCACTCCCATAATGATAACCAAGATATTTACAGAATTACTTACAATACTTCATTTTGGTTGACGGAGCAGTGGTTAGCAAAGGCGGTCTAAATTGATAGGATGGGTGAAGAGACGCTAAGGCATTGACCACGGATTTATCTGTAGCAGTTACTACCCATTAACCCGTACTAGGCTCTTGTTCTTGATCACGACCCTTTTTCTATTGGACCATCCACAGCAGACGAGACACACAATGTTTTGTATTGACAACAAAATCACTCTTTTTATCAATTTTTTGCTTTTGCAGTGGAGACATTAATACACAAATGTTGATATTGACATCATAATATTTTTATATAGCCTCAAGTCTATAGTTTTGTTAAGTTATGGGAGAAAATAAAAGATTATTATTATTATCACTCTTTTCATCAATTCGTTGCTATTGATAAAAAGAGTGATTTTGATGTCAATATCAACAGTTTTGTATAATAATGGCTCCACTGTTGGGCCGCTGGTGGAAAGGATGAATGCTAATAAATAGGTACTTTCAAAAACAAATATTTCCTTTCTTTTCTTCAGAGTAAGTACGAAGATAAACAAACAGGAAAACATGGAAAAGAAAAAACATCAATTCCACCAATTTGGTGTTACGGTTTATTTCCTTTATTCCAGTTGCACAAATAGAAATTATACCTAATAGATACGTGTATAACTAATACTTTAATTATATATTAATTATTGGCAATATTATCCATTAATAAATATTTTAATATAAATATCTCAATGTTCTTTACATAAAGATTCGCGTATTATATACTTTGATAATATAAAATTTATATCTATGCATATATTTTTTATTAGTACGTAAGTATTTTAATTCAAAATTAAGATATTTGGAGTATTTTTAGTTTTGTGCGAGAGAATTGTTCACTTATTAATTTTGAAAGCTTTTTGAGGAAAGTGTCAAGAACTTTGAGAATTTTATTTCATAAATGTGTAAATCTGAATTACAAAAATACTCATCAGTGATCCTTGAGTTTAAGAGTTAGATTTAAGAATCGATATGTTTTAACAGTATCTACTGCAGCTGAGCTTATAAATACTAAGTTTTTAACTTAAGTACTTGTGCTATCAACAAAAGCAGTAAACCACAGATTTATTCCTTAAAAATAATATCACTAGGTACAGTTGTCACAACGAATTAGGATATAAATGAAATGTTGTCGCGTTACAAATAAGTAACTACTAAGTCGTTGGCAATTTATTATATGTAACTAGAATAAAAATTACATACTGAAAACATTTAATAAAGTAATGCCTTACACAAATATAATTTAACAATAATACATCAATACTCATTAGACTAAATTTATTATTTTACTACACACTGACTGAGCACAAAAGTTACGAAATAAAGATTGGAATTTGATTAATTGGCCGGGTCTGATTCATTGGTGTGTCCCACTGTTTATTAAAGGACAGTTCTTCTGAAGCACGTTTCAGTTTTTTTTTATTTATAACCTAAAATCTAGGCGGATATTACTATAAATAAAGGTTAATACGGTCAAATTGGGTTGGGTTAGATATAAATTTACGAATTTGATATTATGGGCTATCTTCTCTGTAGTGGATGCATGAAGGCTGAATAGAGGAATCAACCACTTTTGTGCTGCTAGAATATGATGGAGTGGCAACGTAAAGTTCGTGCGGAGTTGTAGAGGTAACTAACCTTGAGTCTCTTTAATTACGCCGCGATGGGGCACCACTATGAGCTTTTTACTGTCTGTTTTTACTGACTGTACAAGGGCGAGTGTTCCGAGGAGTTATTCTCCCTTATTCTACCTTCCACTTTCTTTCGGAGCACCACGCGAGCTGGCCTACGTTGTCACCGACTTCCTGTGGCTACGATTCCAAAGCGCACAAAGATATTTGGTCTTTATTAATTTGTCGCGTGATCCGGAAATGGAATGCTTTGCCCGCTAACGTGTTCCCTCGCTATTACGACCCGGGACCTTTATAAGAGATGTGAATAAGCAAATCACAGGCCGGAAGGATGAGCATAGTTGGTATGGTAGGTAAAACTGCAGATAGCAGCTATTTTTGCGTCTAGACTTTATCGTCACTTAACATTAGGTAGGTTGGAGTCATTTGTCGGACCTTTTAATAAATAAAGATAAACTTGCAACTGAAGAACAGTTCTTCAATAATCTTTAAGTAGGTAATGCATTCGATTATTTAATTGGTTAGTTGTTGAGGGGATGCCATTGTTTCACTTGTTCCATGGGCGAGGCGAGGGCGGAGTTCCAGTGCTGCAGTGCGCGCCCCCTAGCGAACATGTACGATCCCAGCACGAACTTGCCGAGTAGCCGATCTGAAACAAGTAAAGCAATTAAGGTGTTTGCATACCTATTTTGCTGGGATCAGAACAGGCGTGTGAAATCGACGTAAATTATTGGTCTAAACCCAAGATATATTGTGATAATTATCTTTGTTTTGAATAGGGCAATAGGAATTACAGATTTATCAACGATTCAAATCATTTTCAAATTGTAATTTTTGAAAGAGTTTTGTTGAGGAAGATGATAAATGAATATGCGACGGTATCTCAACCCATCTACAACTAGTCATAAACGAAAATATTTTTATCCATGACCTTTAAATTCCAACAAAAGTCCCTGATAGTACTAACCTGTTTTAACAACAAAAGGAAAGTATTTTGTACTTTCCCACACCCGGTATTAGAATTAGAGCATCGATCGGTTGACTTGTGTTGTGAGGCGGTCATAGACGGCAATCATCATGATTGTGACGAGTTTCTTTCGTAAATAAAATACAATAGCGCTCCTATCTCAAAAGGGATTACCTGACATAATGTTAAACGTAAAGCCATGCCTGGCGAGAGTTTGCTCCGATAAAATAAGAAACACTACCTATGTAAAGGGCAACACGAAATCCATTTCCCCAATCACCAAACTACTTGTGTGGAAAAAGAGGACTCCGCGTTTCTCTTTTGTTTTTGATATTCGGTCTAAATAAATATAAGACGTTCATGGAATAGCAACAAGTTACCCCATCCCACTTGGTGATAATTGTAAGTGGAGTCCAATCGCGAAGATGTATGATATGGCAGAAAGTATGCCGCTCCAGTCATCCCCACCTTGCCGGTTCTGAACCCAATCCCCTACCCTGCGGCGCTCTGGAACCCTTCTCACCAGCAGAAATACAACACCACCAAAAGGTAGTATTATTTTACTGTGGTATGTAAGGTGGAGGTTGCTTCGCGCTTTACCCTACATCTCTTTACCCTTCTTGTTTATTTGGATAAGGAGTTCTTAGGCATAGAGTTCGTTGAGGTGGACGGTAACTCCCCAGAAGGATATCTCTATTCGAGAGTACTCCAGTTTCCTTGAAAATTACAGAAATTCCAGGTACCCATTTATTGTGTGCGCACATACTTACATTTAAAACATAATATAAACTGATAAACAGTGAAAATGACGTATTATAAATACTTGAGTCATGTGTATTTAACCAAAATAGCAAACCACCTTGCCTACTAATTAAATATTTATATTATTTAATTAGTAGGCAAGGTGTTTCGAAAAATTGGATAAAAGGCTAAACTAAGAATGAAGATTATTTAATATCTATATCTATATTCCTATATAATGTAAAATCTGATTTGAAACGAAACGATAAACTAATTGCAACTCTCGATTCTAATATAAAATTCAATAAACTCTCAAATGGAAATAAACGGAACTTCCACTATTAACTTGGTCGAGACCATTTTACTGCTCGTTACTTGTACGGAGTGAATACAAATGGGGATTAACTATAGTTACATGCTATCCAATTGGATATACTATAGCTTGACCGTAGCACTTAGTATATGACACCGGAGCTGCCACAAAAGTATTATAATCATTGTCTCCAATACAAGAGTGAGTATGCGACTATGAATATTTTATTGATTTGAAGAAAAATTGTTATATGCATGACTCAAGTTTTCACACAGGGCACAAGAAATTACCGCATCCCACTTGATATTAGTGTAAGTGAAAAAAATTGGCACCATTGTCACCTTCATTTTACCAACCTGATTCCAATCCCCTACCCAGGTACTCAAGAATAATAGAAAGACATTATCACCAAATGTTAGTGTTATTTTACTATGATCTTCCGTAAGGGGGAACTTACTTCTTCAAGAGAGTAGTTCTAGCGGTAGATCCTTTACGCTCACGTTACATAAATTGTTTTCTGTTTCAAACTTAATAACTACACTACATTATTTAATGGAATTTTAGCATAAAGTGTGTATTTGTCGACAGTAAGAAATAAAAAGGTGACCCTTTGTAAATTGAAAGTTTTATTTAAGTTGGTTCGGAACTAAAATGTTAACCATTTTATCTACCTAAACAGATGTGGCTGTCTAGATATCTAGGATGCATTAGGTACGATGTACCTCGTTAGGTCAGCGCTGGCATAAAACATTACAAACAAGTCCGAATGACATATCACTGCCATCAGCTGTGAACATGTTGCGGTCAACTGTCCTCGACATGTTGTTCATTTAGTGTTATACGATTTCTCTTAACGTGCAAACAGAGACGAGTATATAGAGCATTATTTAGATTCAAATAGCTAGTCTTACATAACAAAATAATTTCGTGGTTTTTATATTTATGTTATTTATTAGTGTAGTTTTTCTAGTTAAAACTAATTATATAAAAGAAGAAACTAACTGACTGACATATCAGCGCACAGCCCAAACCGCTAGGTCTAGGGACTCTAAATTTGGCACGTAGGTTTCTTATGATATTTAGGAGTGCACAAAGAAAGGATTTTTCAAAATTCATCCCCGAAGAGGTTCAAATAGAGGAAAGAAGTTACTATGATTATATGACTACATATGATATGACTTATTTATTGAGTTAATAGACTTGGAGCTTGGTACGAATACTTACCTGAATAAATTACAAAGTTTTTCATTTTAAGTTTTCTTGAAATACCCTCTAAAAGGGGATTGGCACAGTGTCGAAGTTTTTATATATGGATTCATTTCAACGTGCTTTCGATTAACTCGAAACTTGGTATTTTTACTAAAGACCAGAAATAAAAAATAACGTGTATCAGGATTTTCCTAACCTAACCTATATATATTGTTATTCTTGTCATAATATTATTATAAACTGTGTAAGCAAGCAAAAATATCCTTTTAGTACGTTCTTAATATTAATTTCACTAATTCCTTTTTTTACATGTATTGGGAATTCGTTCATTAATTTGGGTATTTTTAAATTGTAATAATTACCTAACATAAAAATTATTGTATCTTGGGATATTGAATATAAGTGCTGATGCACTACGTGTTTGCATAACAGTTTTGCCGGTTCCCAAAATGTATACTGTTTTGTTCATCTGTTAATGAATCACAGTAATCATTACTAGTTATACTGACAAACCTTTCAAAGCTATCACATCCTTAAGCAATCCTTTTACTGGCTATAGAACTTCCATACTTTGTTTATTTCTGGGAAATGCTTTGCGCATCCTTCAACGTTCGGGGGATCGAGAAGAAGGTATCTGGGACATCGTACTTCCATCCTAGACAATTAGTTTTAGATTTTCATAATACTTTTGTTAGTTTCTCTGTTCTGCTCTGGAACGGATCTGAGCCATGTCAGGATTTATTTTTATTTTTACAAAATAACTGGATTTTGAATTGCACTCATTGTACTGCACAAATAATGTCCGTTTTATTAATTTAAAATTACCCCGAATTTAACACGTTATTTATGTTTTCAAATATGAAACAACTAACTTTATATTATTTAATTAGTAAGCATGTGGGCGAAGTCACGGGCAAAAGATAGTATCCATTTAAATTATTGTTTCGCTTTGCTTTCGACTCGACGTCTACCTAAAAAGGGCATCAAATCTTCTATATGCCTTAATTTAATTTTGGAGATATACCAATTTTGTGAGGCTTGAAATACTCACATAAGGTATTCGACCCACCACCGACGACGAACGAAAAGCGAGTAGAGCTAGATAATTATCTATTGTACCTTTTTTGAGCGAGAAAATAGCCGATGTTCATTGCGTCCTCGCTGGCGGTAGACTAACGTAGCGTTGGCAATTCATGAGATAAATAAATCGTTATAACTTTCTCACTATAATCACTTCATCTCGGTGTTCATACTCAATGAGTGCATATTTGACATTGATCGAGTGTGACGGCTATACTCAGATATGTGACTTTGAAGTTGGATATAAGTTTGTATCACTTTTTGTGATAAAAAATAAAAAATGTTATTGTTTCTCAAGAAGTTATACCTTTTGACAGCCAACAGTTCAAAGTTATTGAACGAATGTTGATACTACGCTTTTGATGAATATACTATACTAGCTTTTGCCTGCAGCTTCGCTCGCGTTAGATTTGATTTAGAGTGAATGAATGTATGTCAAACTCGGTAAATAAAAACTTAATTTCAGAAAATATTCTTCTGATTTTTGAAAACATAAAAAAGAAATTTACTTATTTACTTAAAGGATTAACCTCGAGATCTTGGTGCTCCATACAAACTTCGAACCCCCGTTTTACCCCTTTAGGGAGTGAGTTGATCAGCCTTCTTCACCGTCCATAATTCGACTTCGTAATGAAAAATGGGCAAAGACCAAGGTTCTGACGATGTACAGTCCTCTTTAGTATATTTCGGTTTCTCCACACTTTCTCCAGTTCTGTCATAGCTGCATTAGCCATTCCAGTGCGTTGTCTGATTGCATTCTCAGTTCCACCTTTGTTGGAGATACTCGATCCCAAATACACAAATACCTGAGCTATGTCATACTGGCCGAGTGTGTGAATATTTTGTAGTTGACCGGATCGATTGAGAACCATTATTTTGGTTTCGAACTGGGTGATTCGCAAGGCCATCTCTTGGCTGACAGAGTTTAGTCGGTCCAGTAAGCCATCATTAAATACTAGCAGGTAAATTCACCTACTGCGATTTACAGCGCTCCTACGACTAACAGCATTTTTAATACAATTTGTGGTGGGGGATAACCGAATTCGCTTTCCAATTATTTAACCTCAATAAACAAGGACCGGTATTATTAATGCGATCCCTTCCGGCGATGGTCTAATGCTGGAATTTGAGAGAAGATACCGCCCACATAAATCAAGCGGATATTGATAGATTGCTTATTAATGGAAAGTCAAAACAATTTGCTTATACTTTGAGGAAATATTAACGGATATAAATTAGTGCTAATTGAATTCATTATTTTCTAATTAAGCATTAAACTGGTTCATATCTAAAGAATGAATCTAAAGAACCTAAAGAAGTTTTTACTAGAAAAAATACA